TTTTGATAATTCGCACTATGTATTAAAGTTTGATGTGGTCCTGTATCCTTAGTAATTTTAAACTAATTGCTTGTAATAAATTGCAATACTGATTTAAATCATAGCATTTTTCCTCATAAATTATATGAATTTTATAGTTCTCAGTTTATTTTTATGAGCACCTTGAGACAGGCTGTTCTCCATAACTTATCATTACATATTGTTAAATCATACCAAATAACATCTGTGCACTTTATTGCATGCATATTAAATATGATGCATTAAAGCAAAACATTATTGATATGGCCTTGATATGTAACACGTGGAAGTTTAGTTCACGTTCCCGATTTGTATTTACTACATTGAAAACACCTTGCAATGTGAAACTTTGACCTACATTTTACAACAATTGTTGTAAACACTTAAAATCATTCGACATGAGCATGTGAAGTCCTTTATATTGATACAAGATTCGTATTGATCTTAGACAGTAGGAATACTTGTTTACATGTTTTTTTGCGTGCTACATTAATTTATTACATTCGTTTCATTACTTTAACTAAGCGGCAAAATGAGCAACAAATATACGCAAGATAACGTTAGCGATTTAGAATTATAAGTAAACCACAAACTAATTACCTATGATTATTTGCACCTACAGGTGATGTTATCTTGAATTATATAGTACTAACAGCTAATTACTTACAATGTAATGTCGCAGTTAATGCTATGACTGACTTTGATGAAAGTTTTTGTTATAAATCGGGGGCTTAGGGGAATACTGTCGTACATTTGTGCTTAAGATATATTTAGATAAAACAGTATTGCTTTAAAATGTAGTTTTTTTATGGAAAGTCAATAATATCGATATCAGTTCGTCATTAAATAATATTTACTTTACAGTATCATAAATGACACTGGGCGCATTTCCTACTATTTGCGGAGTCAGCGGAACTACGCAAATGAGTTACGATACTTTTGCTTTAAGCTGTTGAGATGTATATTGTACTAAGATTACTATCTCTCCTCTTGAATGCCTTGATTGTGCATTTAGTAAGTCAACCAGTGTAATAGGTCATTTTGAAGTATAACGTTGCAGCATTCTTTGTTCTGCGTGAACTTATCTATCTTGCTTCAAGTGATATAATGCTAAATTTTGTGACTTTTTTGTCACATGATTCAATGGAGCCGATGAAACGCGTCCAATGTACATTTAGTACGATTTTATTTTATAAAATAAGGTCACTTTTTGGAAATATGATAACTTTGGTAGATTTATCTGCATGCCAAGGTTGTTTTCCATGTTCTTACATTAGCTTGTTATTGATATTTCTATGATGTTTCAAAAGAAAAAATATTTTTGGCGATATATAAAAATATCCATTTAAAGTAAGCAGCTTTTATCATAACAGATTTAAAAACACAATAGAAACCATAATAAAATGCAGATTAACAGTAAGATTAGGCAAATAACCTTAAATAAAACAATCGATTTTGATCTGTGACTTAAATAACCAAAAGATTAAAATAAAATGCTAAGATGTAAAACCAACTATATAAATACAAAAATATATTCATTGTTTTTAAACACCTTAATTGGAAGCAAACAAACGAAAAGATCAAATAACAACGGGTAATGCTACGGGGAATTACTCCATTTCTACTTTACTATGTAAACATGTTTGAAGGCTACTAAATATCATTGTTAGCCATAGGTCAAATCAAGGTAAGATCGGTTCAATACAAGGTAACATAGATTATGTCAGCCCGGACATAAATACTGACCAAAACATGTTTATGAAGAGAAAGATATTGTAGTAAACTAAAACGCGAACATGTGCCGCCAATATTGGTAAGTCTTCGAGGTTAAAGAGCCGGGTAAATAGTTTTCTTACGATAGAAAATCGTGTCTAAGCCGAGGTAAAATGTTGGCGGGATATAAGGTCAGAGGTTTGATGGTGATTATGTAAGAATTTATCAATTTAACGAGTTAGAAGGGCCGTGTTGACGTATGTATATACTTAACCTTGCCAATGAATGTCATCTGGTATTTAAATATTTGATAAGTTAAATTTTTATTACACTGGTGTTAATTGGTGACACTGCTTACGGACATAATTACTTGTAGAAAAATATGGTCATAAAATGTCATATTTACCATAGGAATGTTTTTTTTTATGTCTTTCTTACGGGGCTACAAATATTTAAAACCACCTTGAATATCTAATAACTTCGCTACTAAGAAAACATCACATCAGCACCTGATGCTGATTTAAAATCTTGTTATTTTTCTTAACAGCAATATCTTAAAATATTATCTAAATTGTAAATTTTGTATTGAAAACTGAAATCACTTAATGAAACGAAATCAAACTGAAGATTATTGAAGAATTTTAATTTTTGTGTAATTCGTGTTCAAAAGGCCACAACTTACACTAATTAGTTCAAATTTAATAAACTAATTTTGATAGAAATTTTCGTCACATGCATATGGCAAAAGCAGCCAGTCATACATTTTAACCATAAGAAGTTGCGATGCACGAATGCGCTTAAAATTATTTATGGTTCTTAATACTTTGTTTTAAATTCGCACCCTCACCTCTTTCCGACCACACCGAAATCTCGCAGGCGAAGCGGACATTCAACCACTTGCCAGTCCATGGTAATTTCAGAATCATTGCTTAGCGGACAATATACTGGTATATTTATGCTAGAGGGGATATTTTGCACGAATTATTCAAGTTTGACGTCAATAAGTTTTGCACCACTATCTGATGACAAGACATATATTTAATTATTGATGAATCAACAAATTATCCCATAGCTCATGTTTGTGGATGGATATAAGATTTTGTTTTCGGGTGAAATGCAATATCTTATACATAGATAAATACTTAAAGAAGCGCATAAATTATCATAATAAATAAACTGCAAATTCAGCGAAAAGGAAGTTACTAGTATAGCTTTCTTTAGCATTGTTATTTTAGCCTTCTGCATATTTAAACATTGTTTTATAAAATGTCCAAAAAATAGCATGCTATTCTAATGATATGATATTACAGTTAAGTATAAGCTATTTTACTTTAACAATTATATATATATTTTTTTAATTTTATTTCTCTACGATCTCTTTCCAATAACAACATCTACATATTAGTCAAACTATTTGGCAGATTGTACACTGACTTAACAGTAATTTCCATTTAGAGATATCTAGTTCTTACTATAGAGATATCTGCGTGCAATCTTACTGCTGCTATTTACCGACCATCGGACCAGATAGACCTGTATGATTCATTTTGTTCCTGTTAATGATTGGTATCATAAATAGGACTTTGCTAATTACATTTAGCATTATCTGTTACTATCTGATTATGCACTCGGGCACCGGCAACTTGATCGGTAACACATTGAGATGAAACGCCCCCTGAAGTGGCCATTTGCGTCACTATTGCAAATATATGCCAAGAACTTATCAAATATTCATGTTTCTGAAGTACTTTTTCAATAAACTTTTTTCCAGTCGATATACTTTAAACGCGGAGTCTAGTTGCAATTTTCCCCTTTTTATTCAAAACAAAGTTTACTTATCTGGTAAATAGTTTGCAAAAAAACTTTAGATATTTAAATTACGTTCACATTGCACTTTTAAAGTTTATACTTTTAATTTAGCTAAAGACATGTACAGTATGGATTTGTGCAAAGTTTTAGTGGTTATATAGGGCTTGACAATAATTTGTTTTTATCATTGTCAACATAAGTAAACATAGCTAAATTTTTGTTCAAACTCACAATTATGAGAGTTTTTATACTAATTAAAATTGTCAGATGGGTGTTTTTTTTAGATCTAGATCTGCTCTGGAATAAACTTAGATACAGTCACAATTGCATTTATAAATTAAGCTCGCGTAGCTATATCTACGACCATTAAACTGACTTTATGCTAATTTAAAACTTCATTGTAAAGTTCAGCTGAATTGACTATATATTTGTCATTAGATCTATGGTGAGTGACGTCCGTGGCCAAGTGGTCAAGGTCGTTGTCTTCAAACCCCTCACCAATGTGGGTTCGAATCCCGACAAGGTCTTTCAACTCTTTCATGTGAGGAAGCTATCCTGCTAGCTCAGAACGTGGGTGGTTCTTCTCAGGTGCCCATTCGCGCCTGAAATTGATCTAGATATAGATGAGTATTTAAAGCTGGTTCCAGAAGCGTGATTTTATTTAATTTTCCAATTTATTAAAAAAATAAATTTGAAAAACAGCAAAATCATAAAATTATACGCCATCATAAAAATGACGTCACCTATATGTCAAAAATTAAATGACGTATTAATATAAGATGACGTCACTTTATTCATGAGCGTTAATGTGGACCATATTTTTCTGGCAAAAATGTAATGATCAGTGAGCATTTTGTGAGGTAGGCTCTAGATATCTTTTTGCTGATAGTGCTAATTTGATTGTATTCTATCACAAAGATTTGTTAATGGTAAGTATTAACAAGTATTCTACTAGATCTATACTGTAAATCTAGATTTAGAAGGTCTAAGTCTAGATCTAGATATGTATTTAAAATTGGGCTTAAATTTTTTATTTAGAAATTTTAGATCTAGAAATTAATTTCAAACATCTAGTAGATCTAGATCTAGATCAACAGCCTCAGGACTAATTTTGATGTAGGAAAAGTCCTCTATCTATATTACTATATTTTATATTAGACTTTATTTCCTTGATCAAGATTTTATTTTCAAAACGTAATCAGGCGTGGATATGCAAGTACAGTATTAAAACAACTCTGTAGAATCATACTAATTGCCGGGATATTCCCTTCAGTAAGCGATCAACATAACACAAAAATAAATGAATCATAGCTTTACACTTTTTTTGTACTTTAGGCTGGCACTGTGATATTGTATGCATTATATATGCAGTTGAACGCACAATGTAAACAACCCGATCGGTGACCTGATGATATCATGTATACAACTACCATTGGTTTTCGTGTGATCACGTGGTACACAAGCGGATATTTATACACATTGTAAACGTTCGCTAGATTCAGATTATTGGGAAAACTTAGTGGTGAAATACAGTAACGAAATATACTCATTGATATTTTTGAATGAAAATAAATACTCGGAAAAGTAAAAATATATGAACGATGAAAGAGCAGACTGAACACAATATTACAGTAGCTGTCGAGAATAGCAGTGGGAGTAAAATGATGGAATCGTCAATATTAAATGGACCTAAAGGTGTTAAAAATGGAGAAAATGGAAGTGAAGTTTGGCGGAATAAAACTAATTCAAATACATTGACCAAGTGTGAACTTCATAACAATACGTTGTTATATTGCACAGATTGTCGTGATATAGTATGTGGACAATGCGAACAGATACATGTCTCACACACGATGATGAAACTCAACGAGGCCAGTAAAATCAACAGAACAAAACTAAACTCGGAATTAACAAATACCAAAAATTTGATCAGGTATGCAAACATTGTACTTAAAGATCTTCATACATATCTTGAAAAATTGGCTGTTCTTTTGGCAGAAATTACGGCAGAAGTTTTGAAAAGGGCAGAAAGTTTACCAGAGGGTACAGATGTCCTTCCTGAAACTTTACTCAATGATGTGCAGGCAGAGCATGACTCAGAATCAAACCGAATCAGGGACAAAATCGTGGAGTTTGAGAACTTTATAGCATCAGCTAAAACAATCGCCATTAATTGTGAAAATTTATGTAGTGCAGTAGATGACAAATATATATTGATAAAAGGCAATGCAGAACTGATAAGTGCCTCTGACCTACAGAAATCTTTACCTTTGTGTCCAAAAGAAAAGTGCATTTACGTTTTATCGCCACTTCCGGTAACAAGCGAAAGTCAGAAATTATCCCCTGAAGAAATGTTGGGAGATTTCACTAGAGTTTCAGTTCCATGGAGGATTGAGGTGAAAAGGATCGGCTCATTACGCCCTGAGGCAGTTGCGAGTTCAAGGTTCGTAACCACAATGTGTCCTGAATCTGACGACCAGGTTTGGGTATGCTGGCAATGGGGTCCAAAAATTCATCTCGTTAATAAAGAAGGACATGTTGATAAAACGATAGACGTAGGTTGCAAAGTCGACGATATATGTAGAGGCAATGGCAATTTGGTTGTTTCGAGTCACGAAGCGAAGTGCATTAAAATATTTGACTCAAATTACGAACTTGTGAAAACAATTAACACAGAAAAAGTCCCAAGAGGCGTTTACGTGAAATCAGACAGTGAGCTGATCTTATGTTGCGTCCAAAACTTGCACCACAGAAATGGTGACCAGAGTTCTTTGATGAGGGTAGATACAAGCGAGAGCACTATCACAGATCTAGGATGTACAGAACACCTGATTCAACCTTGGCGTGTTGCTGTCAATATAAATGGAGACATTTGTGTATCAGATAGAAATAAAGGAACTGTTATGATTTTTGACAATGACGGAAACTTAAAAGCTACTTATAGTGGTCCAGACTCATCAACAAGACACGCATTTGCCCCACACGCAATTTGTTGTGATAAATTTGGACAAATATTTACAGTAGACTACACAAATCACACTGTGCATGTGCTCGATCCTCTTGGACGTTTCAGGGGTTTTCTTATTATGGATACTGAATTGGAAAAACGTGCAATTTTCATGGGGACCAGTTCTCCATTTTCAATCACAATAGACCGGAGTGGTGATGTTTGGGTTGGCAACAAGTTTGGTTACCTCACCATTCTTAAATACCTCAAGTAGATACTTTTTTTTCATCAGTTAGTTACTCATTTATTGTGATATTAATTGTGCATTTAATGCTCAAGAGCCGTGATATACAATCAAAGAAAAAAACACTACTCCAATGTCTAGTATTGTATATTTTGTGATAAAATTGTCTATATGAGTTTATGTTAAGTTGAACACATTACAACTATAGCCTTGTGTAATATAAATGACATATAAACTGACATATATAATGTATATTTTATGTTGTTATGCAGCTGAGCTGCAGAAAGTAAATTACTGTGTTGATAACAAATGGGTCGTGTTATTTTTATACTTCCAGTCTTTCGACCAGACCATATAGTCTTAGTGACCTAAATTTAGTAGATAATTAAAGATAACAGGATGTCTGTCCTTGAATATTTATGTCATTATAAACACAGTTAACGCATATCGCATCTTTTATCAAAATAAATACATGTTCGTTCAGCGAATTTCCCCCTATTTTTTGCGCCCGATGTATTTTTTCATACCTCAGAAAGATGATAAAATATGACACCTATACATGTCTGAATACTAAATGAGCTTTTGAAGTTTTGTAACGGTTCGCTGAATACGAAAACGTCCTAAATATTTTATATGAATGTAAATTTCTATTTGATATGCAGCGGGGTAAAACTTTTGTATTGAGAGCAGAAAAAAATCCCCCGTTATTGATTGATCATACAACTAGACTATGCACAGCCTGCGATTCTTTTACATTAATACCAATGTTCGGTAAGCCAATACTTCAGAAAAGGCATGTACAATTCATCTATTGTATTCGATGCTATAAAAAATGATCTCGTTAACTTTACGCTATAGTTCATCGTCAATGTTAAATGGGTTTTCCAAAAGATTATGTAATATGCAGCATGGATAAACTAGAAGAAATGTTGGCAAGTAACCAAACTATTTACCTATAATTATGTAGGTCAAATGTATTCATGCGTCAGAGTTGTTAAAGCAAAATAAATTCAGTACGGGAGGCATGAGATCAAGTGTTTGGCATAGATTCAAAATACTTACTGCATTATTATAGTTTTCTTTTATTGATCTCTTATATTTGGTAGTCAACCGCGATGTAAGTCAGGCGATTTACATGTATTTCTGTTATACCACCAGACTAAATAATTGTGGAGGTCATGTGCGATTATTTGCAAATAACTGGTATACATTATTAGATATTATATTGGATAGAAACCATGTTACTTTTTAAGCAAAACAAAATGTATCGTATCTGAAAAAGAAATTTCTTACTTTTGGTGAAACGTTATGACGAGGGAATAAAAGAATGGTTCACAAAGTTGTTGGAAGGCCACATTTATTGAATAATGGTAATATAATTATTTTGTATTTGAATTACAAAATAAAATTATATAACCAATATTCATTATATCTAATAATGGTCATCCCGCTATTATCTGTGAAATGCGAGAAGTTTTATTCAAAAGGGCGTTACTCAGGATTGTTAATTATATCTCAGCATCTGTACTATTAACGGTAAAAAATAACTTGTTTACTAACATGCTTCCCGAAGTAGAATGGCTAAGAACTGCATGTTGCCGACTATGGCACGTGGGCGAGTTCGTAATTCATATGGTTCTTGTTTATCTCGCGGACACTAAAATCAGATATTTTTCACGGGTTCAAAAACAAAGCTAATACAGTTAATGACGTATTTGTGGATCGAAGATTGATTGATTATATTTTTTCTTAAGTATAATAACGCAACTAATATTTCATACATATCATGCATATAGGCGTTGTCTTCAGTATAAAACAGATATGAAAAGAAAAAAACTTGACATTTATAGTAATTCACCTATGTATCGTTACATTAGAAAAGTAATCATCATTATGTCGCAAAGTAAGCTTTAAACAAATAGGGAAAATTAATAAAAGCATAATGTGTACGCAATTTCCCACTTATAAATTATATAGTAAGTAGTATTTAATAGTTCACGTACCACTTATTACAGGAAACATAATTATGCAACTGTGTCATATTTAGATTAATCTGTGGATTAATCAAGATGCATGGGATGAATTTAAAACATTAGTTACCAGTTGGTAACAATATAACCATACTTATAAACCTGATGTAAGCAATGATTACTTATGAAAAATAATATAACTATAAATATCAATCTGAATGTTAGCATTGATAACTTATTATTAACAATAAAACAATACATATAAATTTGATGTCAGCGTTTACAAGTTATTTATGATACAACAATACATTTAAACCTGAATGTAATCATTGATAACTTATTTATGGTAATATAACCATACATATTACCTGATGTTATCATTGATAACTTATCTATAACAATATAACCATGCATAATAACCTGATGTTATCATTGATAACTTATTTGTAACAATATAACCATACATATTAACCTGATATTATCATTGATAAATTATTTATAACAATATAACCATACATATAAACCTGATATTATCATTGATAACTTATTTATAACAATATAACCATACATACTGACCTGAAGTGTATCAATGATAACTTATTTATATCACTATAACCATACATATAAACCTGAAGTTATCATTGATAACTCATTTATAACAATATAACCAAACATATTGACCTGAATGGTATCAATGATAACTTATTTATTACATTATAACCATACCTATAAACCTGAAGTTATCATTGATAACTCATTTATAACAATATAACCAAGCATAATAACCTGAATGTTATCATTGATAACTTACTTATAACAATATCACTATAACAATATAACCATACATATGAACCTGAATATTATCAATAACTTTTTTTATAGCAACTTTATATAACAACATAATCATACATATGAACCTGATGTAAACATTGATAACTAATGTCTTGTTAGCATTGATCTTCAGATTAAAATACAAATGTAGAAAAAAACAACACTTTTTTACTAAAGTGCTTAAAAGTGATATACATTGATAGATTTGTTATTGTCTGCAAGGAAGGCCTTATCAAATGGTTTTATTAGTAACAAAAAATATATCTGTAGCATTAGCAATATAATATCCCAAAAATATTTAAGATTAATATACTAACAACATAGTTTTACACTGAAATACAGTTTTAAATTCTGTCCATCTTTTTTTCTGAAGTCAAACTGTATTATTTATTTTACGCGCATTTTACATTTAATTTTACAATGCTTGTTTTGTGGAGGAAAAAAAAACCCTTTGAAACAAGATGTTATTTCTGTCTTTAATCTTCAACAAATCTCAAGTGTAGAATCAAGTTTCATAATTTCTGCTTTATGTAATGCGAGTTAAGCAGAAATGTTTTGTGAAAATTTACATTACAAGGTCATGTTCTGTACTAACTATTTTACATGAATGCGTCTTTTCAAAGGATATAGGATATCACATGTAAAATCGTTTCTTAAGTAAGCATGGATCTGTTTTTATAAAACACGAAATAAAGGTTATTTTAATGACTTGTCTCCATACGTATATACAATGTTTTCAAATCAATGATCCAATACAATTATGTAATTTAGGACATGGCGAAGATAAATGATTTATTTTTACACCTTATAAAATATAACCAATGCACTTTCAACATTTGCGCCACGTGATGTTCCAATAGAAATCATTATTTGACCCAATCATATGATTTTAGCCTCGTTTTCATCTCCAACGTCCAAATAAGTCCGTATCAAATCTATATTACACCTTTATAGCCCAGAGTACAAAAGGTTCATATCAAATCCATATCACATCCCATATAGCATTGTTTTCATTTCCAATGTATAAAACGTCATATAAAATTCATATCGCGCCCTGTCTAGCCTCGTTTTCATTTTTTTGAGTCAAAAATCCATATCAAATCATTATTGTCATTGAAGTTGTGTCAAAATATCAAAAAATTGTTGTGTGGAATAAAGAGGCCATTAAACATGGTTGAGAACAATAATGATTCTATTGGAGTCGTACACAGCTGCAAAACCTATATCAGACTTGACTAGCGCCTCGTCCAATATAGTTTTACATGTGTGTACTCGCCCAATAGAATTCAGTATCGTACTCAACAATTTACGAGTACAATAACCTCTAAATATCTGATGACTGATGTGTTATGTACAATAATATTAAAATGCATTTTCAATAGCTGAATGTAGCAATCCTTTCAGAAAAGTTCATAATTATTTACCTTTGTCTAACTTTATAAATTTTTGAACATTTTACAATTGCCAATGTCAAGGCTGAATAAGGTAAGGTATTAATTTGACTTAACATCAGAAAATTATTTTTTTTTAGTGTAAACAATTTGCTTCCTAATATGTTTGTTTTATTAAGTATTAAGTAGGATGGTTCCTGATTGGTTATATGAAAAATGTAGGGCAACCGTATTGACTTCCTTGATGGCTAAAGTACAAGTGTACTACTTGTTTAGATATATGAAACAAACAAACAAACAAACAAACAAACAGATCACATTCTGTTCATAAAACAGCTGATCAAAGTTTACAATACCGTTGGAAGGGGAGTTTTTTTGCAAGTTTATTTAGCTGCCGTGTCTTTTATGACTTTGAAAAAGTCGCATGATTTACTGCAGAATGACACGATTTATTTTGCGAGTATTAAAATTATTGCAAAGTTAATAAAAACATTCACATGCATATGCAAATCATTTTGGTACCCGTTTTCTTTTTTTTTTCAAGTTATTGCACAAACGTTTGTTATTTACAAATTTGTCCATGCGATGAATAATAGTGTCTTACCTCCGTATACAAATAAAGTTTCTTGATTTATTACAAATTAGATATTATTTCAGTTCTCAAACGAAGAACCGTTTTGGGAAGTCAATTGCAAAACTACCCTATTCTGCGATCAGCAAACTCCTCATAGTAATTTAATCATACTACGTTCCTGTACTGTCAGAAAAATTAGTTCATGTCCTGGCTAGACAAAAAATTCATGTACATGAAGATAACAGTATTTTATGAATCGCCAAAATAATTAAATATGTTCATAGTATATATTTATGAATTTTCTTCAATGATGGGTAAAAAAGAACGCAAAAAGAACACAAACAACATCAACAACAAGAATCATCATCATCATCATCATCATCATCATCAACAACAACAACTGACCACTTTGTACAGAAATTTTAAAGGTTTGTTTTAATTTAAATGCACCGAGCTATATTGTTGCGCGTTTGAATTTCAATTGTTGTTCTAGACTCTTGCGACAAAAGAAGACAATTAATCGCCTTCCAAAAAACATTTTCTC